GGTCCCTAAACGATATTTTCCAAGATTATCCTAGCTATTGTCTTTATACCTCATGGCCCGGTTAATGTGTCCTTGTGAGTCCAGCTCCAGCTAGGTCACATTCTCTATGCTCAAGGACAGGGAATAATGACTCCAATATTATTTTCTAAATCAGTAGAAATTTCACCACCAAAGAAGAAATTCAAATGGCCAAGAAGCACATGAAAAGATGCTCAACATCATTAGTCATTAGAGAAATGCAAATCAAAACCACAATGAGATACCACTTCCTAACCCACAGGATGGCTATGATTTAAAAAAAAACCAGAAAACAACATGTGTTGCAAGGATGTGGAGAAATTGGAACCCTCATCCATTGCTAGTACCGAAAACTAAATCCGTTGCCGTTGAGTCAATTCCAACTCATGGCGACCCTATTTACAACCGAAGGAAACGCTGGCCGGTTTTGCAAAATCCTCAAAGTCGTTGCTATGTTTGAGCCCATTGTTGCAGCCACTGTGTCAAAGCATCTCATCGAGGGTCTTCCTTTTTCCACTGACCCTCTGCTTTACCAAGCATGATGTCCTTCTCCAGGGGCTGATCCATCTTGATAACATATCCAAAGTACATGAGACGAAGTCTCGCCATCCTCTCTTCTAAGGAGCAATCCGGCTGTACTTCTTCCAAGACAGACTTGTTCATTCTTCTGGCAGTCCATGGTATATTCAATATTTTTAACCAACACCATAAATCAAATGCATCAATTCTTCTTCTGTCCTCCTTATTCTTTGTCCAGCTTTCCCATGCATATAGGCAATTGAAAATACTGTGACTTGGGTCAGGCACACCTTAGTCCTCAATGTGACATCTTGGCTTTTTAACACTTTAAAGAAGTCTTTTGCAGCAGATTCGCCCACTGCAAGACGTTCTTTGATTTCTTGATTGCTGCTTCCATGGATGTTGATTGTGGATTCAAGTAAAATGAAATCCTTGAGAACATCAATATTTTCTCCATTTATCATGATGTTGCTTATTGGTCCAGTTGTGAGGATTCTTGTTTTCTTTATGTTGAGGTGTAATTCATATTGTAGGCTGTAGTCTTTGACCTTCATCAGTAAGTGCTTCAAGTCCTCTTCATGCTCACTAAGCAAGGTTACATTATCTGCATATCGAAGGTTATTAATGAGTCTTCCTCCACTCTTGATGCCAAGTTCTTTTTCATAGAGTTTAGCTTCTTGGATTATTTGCTCAGCATACAGGCTGAATTATTACAGTGAAAGTACACAACCCTGATGCACAGCTTTTCTGATTTTAAACCATGCTATATCCGCTTGTTTTGTTCAAACAACTGCCTCTTGGTCTATATACTGGTTCCGGGTGAGCATAATTAAGTCTTCCGGAATTCCCATTCTTCACAGTGTTATCCATAATTTGTTATGATCCACACAGTTGAATGCTTATGCATAGTCAATAAAACACATGTAAATATCTTTCTGGTATTCTCTGCTTTCAGCCAGGATCCATGTGACAACAGCAATGACGTCCCTTGTTCTATGTCCTCTTCTGAATCCACCTAGACTTTCTGGCACTTTCCCGTCAATGTACTGCTGCAGCCGCTTTTGAATGATCTTCAGCAAAATTTTACTTGCGTGTGATATTAATTATATTGTTCAATAATTTCCGCATTCTGTTGGATCACCTTCCTTTGGAAAGGGGACAAATACAGATCTCTTCCAGTCGGTTGGCCAGGTAGCTGTCTTCCAAATTTCTTAGCATAGAAGACTGAGCTCTTCTAGCACTGCATCCGTTTGCTGAAACATCTTAATTGATATTTTGTCAATTCCTGGAGACTTGTTTTTTGCCAAAGCCGTCAGTGCAGCTTGGATCTCTTACTTCAGTACCATCGGTTCTTGATCATATGCTACCTCCTGAAATGGTTGAACGTTGACCAATTATTTTTGGTACAGTGACTGTACTCCTTCCATTTTCGTTTGATGCTTCCTGCATCATTTAATACTTTCCCTGTAGAATCCTTCAATATTGCAGCTGGAGGCTTGAATTTTTTCTTCGGTTCTTTCAGTTTGAGCTATGCCGAGTGTGTCTTCCTTTTTGATTTTCTACCTCAAGGTCTTTGCACATTTCATTATAATACTTTATCTTTTTGAGATGCCACTTGAAATCTTTTGTTCAGCTCTTTTGCATCATCATTTCTCCTTCCCCCTTTATCTACTCTATGTTCAAGAGCAACTTTCAGAGTCTCCTCTGACATCCATTTTGGTCTTGTCTTTCTTTCCTGTCCTTTTAATGACCTCTTGCTTTCCTCATGTATGAAATCCTTCCATAACTTATCTGGTCTTCGGTCATTATTATTCAATGTCTCAAATCTGTTCTTGAGATGGTCTCTAAATTCAGGTGGAATATATTTGTGATGGTTAAGATTGTGTGTCAGCTTGGCTGGGCTATGATTCTCAGTGTTTATATGTGATCACTCTCATGATGGAATCTGCTGTGAGTAGCCAAGTAGATGAAAAGGAGTTTCTTTGTGGGTGTGGCCTGCATCTGAGTATAAGAAGACGTTCTGGCTTTTTTGCTCCCTCTGGATCCTGTGGCTGCCTCCTGTTTGTCTGACCTCCAGTTCTTGGGACTTGAGCTATCAGCTTATCTGCCAATCTTGGGATTCATTGATCTTCACAGCCTGTGAGTGTGAGCCCTGCTTTCTGACCCGCTGATCTTTGGTTTGCCAGCCCCTGAAGCTACCTAAATCAGGAGAAGCCTTGCAGTCTTGCCTGCTAATCTTGGGATTTGTCGATCTTCACAGCCTGTGAGCAAGAGCTGTGTTCTCCTACCTGCCGATCTTGGGTTCACCAGCCCCTGAGGCTACATGAATTGAGAGAAGCCTCTATCCTGATCCACGAACTTGGGACGTTCCAGCCTCTACAATTATGTGAGCCATTTCCTTGATATAAATCTCTCTCTATATATATTTATATGCTTTACTGGTTTTGCTTCTCTAGAAAACTCAGCCTAAGACAATATTCAAGGTGACACTTTGTCTCTTCTGGACTTTTTCTAATTTTCTTCAACTTTAGCTTCGACTTGTATAGGAGCAATTGACGGTCTGTTCCACAGTCGGCCCCTAGCCTTGTTGTGACTGATGATAATGAGCTTTTCCATTGTCTGTTTCCACAGACATAGTCAATTTGATTCCTGTGTATTCAATATGGTGAGGTCCATGTGTTGCCGTTTATGTTGTTGAAAAGGGTATTTGCAATGAAGAATTCATGGGTCTTGTAAAATTTTATCATGCGATCTCAGCATCATTCTATCACTAAGACCATATTTTCCAACTACCAATCCTTCTTCTTTGTTTCCAACTCTCGTATTCCAATCACCAGTAATTATCAATGCATCTTGATTGCATGTTCCATCAATTTCAGACTGCAGAAGTTGGTAAAAATCTTCAATTTCTTCATCTTTGGCATTAGTGATTGGTGTGTAAATTTGAATAATAGTTGTACTAACTGGTCTTCCTTGTAGGTGTATGGAGATTATCCTATCACTGACAGCGTTGTGCTTCTGGATACCTCTTGAAATGTTCTTTTTTTTTTCTTTCTCCATCCCTGAGTTCTTTATTTTGATTCTTATTTTCAATGGCTTGATTTCATCAATCAATATGTATTTTTTTT